GCAGGGGCCAGGGGAGCAAGTCAGTAAGCAGTGATCCTCCATGGCCTGTGCTTCAGCTCCTGCCTCCAGGTTCCTGCCCTGAGTTCCTACCTTGGGCTCCCTGATGAACTGCGACCTGGGAGATGTAAGACAAATAAACCATTTCCTCCCCAAGTTGGTACTGGTCAGAGTGTTTTGTCACAGCAATGAAGAACAAACTAAGACACAAAGCCATCAGGGAATTGCCTGCTTCTTGCCACATCATGCCAGCCTCCTGGTCCTCTACCCCTGAGCACCTCCTCCAACCGCACCCCCAGCTCCACTCTTGGTCCCTATCCTCACTCTGTTCTTAACCGTATCTGAAGTGAGTCTGTGGAAACATGGATATGATGATGTCATTCTTCTACCCAGAATCCTCTCTGGATCCATCTCTCTCAGATGACAAGACAAAGACTTTCATGTGGTACCAGGTACTCCACGACCTGAGTCTTTCCTACGTCTGCACACATCCTCCCAGCTCACTCTGCTCTGGTTATAAGCTTCTCTGCTCCTAAAAACATCAGGCAAGCTTCTGTCACAGTACTGTGGCTTATCTGTTCCTTGTGTCTGAAATATCTGTCCTCCAGAGACTGCAAGACTCTCCCTCACCTCTCAGGCCTTTGTGACTTTCTCCATGGGGCCTGCTGTGACTACCACTTCAAATGATGAGCCTTTGTACACACTAGCCTCTCCTACTTTCTCTATTGCCATCCAACACATTTTCTTTATGTGCTTGTCTTTGTCTCTCCTCACTAGAATGCCAACCCTTGAGGGAAAGGGACTTGTCTATTGTGTTCACCACTGTATCCCTAGTACCTAGTTCTGTGCCCATTACTGCTTGATGAATGAATAAGTGATCTGATAGCAACACATTACCTACCCTGTCACTGAGCTTGATTCTTTTTAGAGTGCTTTAAAAACATCTATCTTTGGGGACTGGAGAGCACTGACTGCTGTTGCAGAGGACCCAGGTTCCGTCCCCAGAACCCACATGGTAGCTAACAACTGTCCAGTTCCTGGGATCCGAAGCCCTCTTCTGACCTCCTTGGGCTTTACATGACACAGGTACACTTCCATACATGCAGGCAATACACTCATACACATAAAATAATAAATAAAATGTTTTAAAAGTCTTCCTGTTTGTAAGAAGGTGATCATAGCATCATCGACAGTTCTACGTCTGGTCTTGGCTAAGGACCAGAAGGCACTTGTTGACTCTGGTCTGCTCTACACCCTCCCTGTATCTCTGAGGAGTCCCTGATTTGTCTGGAAACAGCTGCTTTTCATTTATCTCACTTCAGACTGATGCTATTGCTCTATGCTTTATCCCAGGCAGACTTTGTGATCCAGAGTGCAGCCAGGAGGTACCCAAAGGAGAACCTGCCTCGTGGTGGAATCTGACTTCTTTGACTTTTCATGATCTTGGTTCAAAATCCCCTTTGCTGTTCTGCTCCCACCCCTGCAGTGCAGACAGTGGAGCAGACCACTGTCAAGGCTCAACCACGCAGCACTGGTGCCAGAGAACTTGCTGGAAAGGATGCCAGCCACAGACCACACTTAGCCAAAGCATAGCCATGGCCATGTTTTCAATGAATCATTTGAAGCAACTCTGGGTGTGGAAGGGAAAAGCTCTTGCTTATGAAAGATCTTCTGCCAGATTCTATGACGTTGTTAACTTTTTGGATCCTGGGCCAGCCTTTTGGAAAACTGGCAGTGTTTGGAGTGAACCACAGTCTTGGCCTGTGTGCCACGGTCCTATGGGACAGCACAGAGAGGAGCAATCTTGGCTACAAAGCTCTGAGATAGGGGGATGGAGTGATGGCAAAGGGATGAATGGGGCAAGGAGGCTGATCTCAGATGGACACTGTCCAAATCCACTCAGCCCTCCAGTGTGGTAATGGGGGGCATGGCCCTTCTCAGTGCCATCCTCTGTTTTCCTTGCCTGCCTGCAAATGCTTACCTGGAGCCATGGTAGAGGCTAGCAGGGGGCTCTGCATAGTATGCTAGATGATACTGCAGTGATTCAGCATTAGTGCTCACTGGCCACTGGCCACCAGCCTTACCTGGCAGAGAATTCATGACCAAAATCACACATGACTCTAAGACACACACCTGAAAGTGGCATAGAATCTACCAACTCAAAAAGTCATCCTGTCTGCTTCATGCAGAAATTAACTTATATATTTTTAACAATAGCATAGATAATGCCTATTGATTAACAGATACGTATTTTCCAGCTTTTTAAAGTCAGGCAAGTCCTCTTCCTTCAAATGTTCTGGCAAGATGTGAGACATGCGAGGACAGTTTCTCTCTCTCTCTCTCTCTCTCTCTCTCTGTGTCTCTCTGTCTCTCTCTGTCTCTGTCTCTGTCTCTCTCTCTCTCCCGTGTGTGGTGTGTGTGTGTGTGTGTGGTGTATGTGTGTGGTGTGTGTGTGGTGTGTGTGTGTGGTGTGTGTGTGGTGTGTGTGTGTGTGTGTGGTGTGTGTAGTGTGTAGTGTGTGTGTATGTGTGGTGTATGTGTGTGTGTGGTGTGTGTGTGGTGTGTGTGTGTGTGTGTGTGGTGTGTGTGTGTGGTGTGTGTGTGGTGTGTGTGTGTGTGTGTGTGGTGTGTGTGTGTGGTGTGTGATGTGTCTGTGTCTGTGTCTGTGTCTGTGTCTGTGTCTGTGTGTCTGTGTCCTCAGGTTGGCCCTGCTAACCACAGTAACCATAGGTGAGTCACTGGGTCTTCATCATGTTGGTGGGGCTGGAGCCGGCAGTCCTGGATCCCGTTGTGGAAAGTGCCTCCTGGGGTGGAATCCTAGAGAGCACTTCTTAGGAACAGGCTGAGAGAACGGAAGAAGGCTGACCTGACAGTGGGTGAGCTCCCTTTGGGCTTCTTTCCACATGGGGGAGTGGGAGGGTGTAGGGTGTGGAACAAGAGGGGCAGGAATGGAAGAGACTGTCTTCTTATAAAGAGAGTGTGCCTTCAGATTGTTTCTAGAAAATTCACCTAAATTAGGGCTGCAGATTGAGGTGGGGATAAGGATCAAGGTAATAGGACCAATACGTTTGGAAAAATATTCATTTGAGTATAATTAATTAATTAATTAATTAAGTGTGCCTTTAATTACTTAGCCAATTAATTACTTTGTGTGTGGGTGTGGTGTGTAGGCCAGAAGACAACCTTGGTTAGTGTCTTCAGAGCACTGTCCTTCCCCTTTGAGATAGTATTTCTCACTGGCCTGGAGATTACCAGTTAGGTGAGGTTGGTGTGGGCAGGGAGCAGCCAGGGATCATCCTGTCTCAGCCTCCTGAGTGCTGGGAATACAAGCGCCCTGCCAAGCGCAGCTTTTCACATGGGTTCTGGGGGTGGACCTCAGTCCTAATACTTCCAAGGTGACTGCTATGGAGTCTTAAGAATGTGTGTAAAAGGGAAGCTTTTCTAATACCCTCCCTCATATTCCAACTGAGTGCTTGCCCAAGCCCTGGGTGCAACTCTTAGACCACCTTAAAAATGACAAGAATTTGGGGGCTGGAGAGATGACTCAGGAGTTAAGACCACTTGCTGCATTGGCAGAGGACCTGGGTTTGATTCCCAGTACCCACATGGAGGTTAACAACCTCCATAACTCTAGTTCCAGGGGATCTGATACCCTCTCCTTGCCTCCACAGGCATCATACCCACATAGTGCACATATACTCATGCAGGCTCATATACATACACATTAAAAAAAGTAAATCTCTTTTTAAAATGAGAATTGTGTACTCCTTTTATAATTAGAAAAACAGTTTAACATGAAGGAAAAACCATAGCTACATGGAAGACTTTTGATGGACGTTGGAGGGACGCCATGTCACTGGTTGGCTCTGAACACAGTCTTGAACCATAAATTTAGTTCTTCGTATCGTTACCCCATAATGGCCTCTTTGTCATTTGTGTTGGCCTTGAGTTCTTACAGAGCCTGTAAACTTGCCGGAAAAGATCTTCCTCAGTGAGGAGTGATCCCGGGATGTTGCTGTGAAACTTCTGTAAAGAGCAGCAACCTTCCTTTAATGAGAACTGTTAGGTAACAGCTAACATTTACATAACACTTCAACATTTACAAAGCATAATTTTTAAAATGGCCTTGAATCAACCCTGTGAGGGGAAGTTTTGGGGTTGCGAGGGTGCTGCCTGTTACCAACATTCATAGAAACGAGGAGGCTTGCCAGTGATCACACAGCCGGCTTATTACGGATAGAACTGGAATCTTTGAGTTCCTTGCAGGGAAGTTCTTGAAGCCACTAGAGGTGAGTCATGTCACATGTCCAATCACCTCTTTTGGCTTTCTAACAGCCGGTGCCTAGGAAGAGCACATCCTATTGTTTCTTCTGAATAGGCAAATCAAGTTGTGACTCCAGCGACACAGACTAAGCTGCACACCCAGTTCTAAGAGCACTCTGCTTTCCACTCGCCAGTACTGCCCCGAGGACTGTGCACATGGTGAGCAGGGAGGACTGTGTGTAGTGTAGTGTGTGTGTGGTGTATATGTGGTATGAGTGTGGTGTGCATGTGCTGTGTGTGGTATGTGTGGTGTATATGTGTGTATATGGAGTGTGTGATGTGTTTGTGTGTGCTATGTGTGTATGTGTGTAGTGTGTGGTATGCAGAGAGTGTGTGGAGCATGTGTGTGGTGTGTATAGGGAGTATGTATGGTGTGTATGGTATGTATGTATGGAGTATGTATGTGTGGAGTGTGTGTAATGTGTGCATGTGTGTGTGTAATGTGCGATGTGTATGTGTGGTGTGTGTGTGAATGTGATAGGTGTGTGGTGTGTGTGGAGTATATGTGTGTGTGGAGTGTGTGTGGAATGTGTATATATGATGTGTGTGTGTGGAGTGTGTGTGTATGGGGTGTGTGTGGTATGTGTGTGTGGCGTGTGTATGGAGTATGTGTGTGTGGAGTGTGTGTGGAATGTGTGCATATGATGTGTGTGTGGAGTGTGTGTGGAATGTGTGTGTATGGTGTGTGGTATGTGGAGTATGTGGAATGTGTGCATGTGTGTGTGTGTAGTATGTATGATGTGTGTGATGTGTTTGTGTGTGGTATGTGTATAATGTGTGGTGTGTATGTGTGGTGTGTAGTATGTATGTGATATGTTTATGTGTGTGGTGTGTGTGAGTGTATGTGGTATGTGTGTGGTGTATGTATGGAGTATGTGGGCGTGGAGTATGTGTGGAATGTACGTATATGATATGCGGAGTGTGTGTGGAATGTATGTATATGGTGTGTGTGGTGTGTAGAGTGTGTGTAATGTGTGCATGTGCATATGTGTGTGTGGAGTGTGTATGATATGTGTGATGTGTTTTTGTGTGTGGTGTGTGTGATGTGTATGTGTAGTGTATGTGTGTGAATGTGGTATGTGTGTGGTATGTGTGTGGTGTATGTATGGAGTATGTGGGCGTGGAGTGTGTGTGGAATGTACGTATATGATATGTATGTGGAGTGTGTGTGGAATGTAGTATATGTGTGATGTCTTTGTATCTGTGATGTGTGTATGTGGAGTGTGTGGTGTGTATGTGTGGTGTGTGTGTGAATGTGATAGGTGTGTGGTATGTGTGTGGAGTATGTGTGGTATGTAGTATATGTGTGATGTGTTTGTATCTGTGATGTGTGTATGTGGAGTGTGTGGTGTGTATGTGTGGTGTGTGCGTATGGAGTGTGAGGCGTGTGTATTGTGTGTATGTGTAGTGTGTGTGGTGTGAACTCACAATTGCTACATGAAGCATTAGAGGAAGAAACGGGAAAGCTTACATTACTGTGTCTGGGCAACACTTATTTCTCCCCCTTGCAGATGCTCCCCTCTGCCACTCTGATCAGTCCTTCCTTCCCTGACACTGTCCCCAAGAGCCACATTCCATGTAACATATGTCTTTATCTGATCTTGGGTCTCCAGAAACACCTTCAGGCTTGGCTTGAGGGAGCCCTGTTCTTCCAGGCCTTTCTGGGAGTGTGAACTCATCTGAATTTAGGCACTTGAAAGATTCCCCTTCCAACTGGCGTGGAGTGGGCAGCACTCTGAGTCCCTTCTTTCCCGACAGGGTTAAACTTGCTGGCTTGATATATCCCCAGTGCTTGCCGACACAGCTAAGCCCAGGGCACAGAGTGAAGATGCTGCCTGGTTCTGAGAAGTGACATCTTAAAGGAGAGGGCCAGAGGAGAGAAAAGCCTTGGCACCAGCCCCTTTCCATGGTGGCTTGGTGGGGGATCATGGGAGTGGCAGGGGCCAAGCACATTGGACAGCTGCCTCTAACAGTTCCTCTTTCCTTCCCTGCCACCTGGCACCTCTACCTAGCTACAAAAATGCATCCACAGTAGCCTGCAGGCCTGTCTTGGTCTCTGTGGTTGTGAGCTCACCGCCCTGGTCCCCCAGGTAGTAGCCTCCTGCATCCCAGTGTCCATCATCCCATCACACCGGCAGCAGAGCTTGGTGCCTGTTCCCAGGGAGTCCTATCTCAGCAGCAGCAGCAGCAGCCGGCAGGGAACTGGAGGGAGCCTGTCCCCATCCTCTGAAGCATAAAAGAGTTGTCTCTGGCTTGCCAGCAAGGGCTGCCCTCTGGGTTCTCTACCTCTACCTGGCTCCCAAATAGGCAGCTTTGATGATTTTCCCAGAGTCATTTTCCATCAATTTTACCAAGAGGGAGCATGCCAGGAGGCACAGAGCACTGGCAGAGCTGACACAGGGAGACAGGGCACGGGGCTTCTAATTTCTTTCCCTCTGTATCCCCAATTCTTTTTAAGAACAGTGAATGAACATCAGGCAATGAATCAGAACAACTCACCCCTGCTCCACCTGCGGGACACAGTAGCCTGGGCGTTGGAGACCAGCAGCAGAAGCAGCAGCGCTTTCCAAAGCATCTTCACTTCCAGAAGAGTGAGCAATTGACCCTCGATCCCGGTGAGATCCTGGTGGGACCTACAGGTAGGCCCTTGAGTTTGTCCCTGTGAGATGACAGACTGTTTTCTAGGAGGGCAGTAAGGTCCTCTCCCTGGCTCCACAGGGTGGAGACTAATGCTGCCTCCTGGGTGGGACAGGAGTCAGTACCTCTCTTAATCCAAGTCTCTCTGGGATTGGGGTTCTGGCCTTCCACACAGAGGCTGTTTTTCAGCACATCTGGAGTGACTCACGGGGCATGTGATCTCCTTGGCAGTAGGCTGGATAAATATAATTTCTGTACTTGCGTTCCATGTGTTGGATGCGCCCACTGGAATTTTTCTTTAACAAACAGACTCGTGGAACTTGTTAGAGAGCCCATTGAAGAGCTGGCTGTTTTCCTCATCCACACATACTACTTCAGAGCCAGGACAGAGGGTTGGAGGAAGAGTTGGGAAATTGCCCAGCAGACAGTGGGGCTGGTGGAGCTCAGAGTTTCTTTTAAGACAGCACAGTCATTCTAGTGCTGGAGTGTCCCTGCTGTCCTTCCCTGGAACTAGATTTGTGCATGTTGGGGCCCAGAGCTTTCCCCAGGTCCTAGATGGGTAAGGATCTGGAAGGTTGTAAGGACCATATGCAGAGAGGTGGCATGAAACATAGACATTATCTATGTGTACCTGTGTAGGTGATCATCCAGGAGTCTGGGGATGAGTTCCTATTCACATTCATGATGCTTGTATTGTCTTCCATTGCTATAACAAAGTACTCAAGGCTGGGAAATTTGTAAAGAAGATAGGTCTGTTTAGCTCATACTTCTAGGTCCAAGAGCAAGACACCACCACAGCTCTGATGAAGACTGGATGATGGAAGGCATCACAGTGGGGAGAACTCATGTAGAAGATCACATAGTGATCCAGGAAGACAGAAAGCTTCAGGATTCAGGCTCTATCTTTTTGTGACAACACCCTCTTATAGTAACTAGCTAGAGTCTCCAGAGAACTACATTAATTCCTTCCAAGGGCAGTGCTCCAATGACCTAGCTACTTTGCTCTAAGCCTCACTCTTTAAAGGTTCCACTACCTCTTAATCCTAGCACACTGGGGGTAGGAATTCTTAGGGACACTGAACTTCTCTGTACTATGCCCAGATTAGGGACCAAACAACTTCCTTTCCCCCAATATGGGAATAATTTTCCTCTGTCATTTAAAAAGTACTGGAGATGGGAGAGATGTCTTAGTTGGTAAAGTGCTTTCTGTGCAAGCAATATTACCTGAGTTTGATTCCCAGGACCCATGAAATAACTAGACCAGTGGTATATGTCTGTAACACTAGTGGAAAGGCGGAAACAGGAGGATCTCTGGGGCTCACTGGCCAGCTAGTCTAGCTGAATTGGTAAGTTCCAGGTAAGGTGAAGGACCCTGTCTCAAAAGATAAGGTGGAAAGAGATTGAGGAAGACAGCAGATGACCTCTATACACATGCGCATATGCATGCACACCCTCTTCCCACACACATGTACACAAAAACATGTACAGGCAAACATATAAAAGTACTGCTGTAGACATCTTAATTGCACCCTTAGTTATCCACCACTTCTCCACCTTCTCTGACACTCCAAAGGAGGATACTAAAGGTCGAAGGACTTTTACAGGTCTCCTTCCCTTGTGGGTTTCTAGCTTGTGGAGAAAGTGGCCAGGGTAAGTGGGCTACTGAAAAAGATGCCTTGAGGTCTCCTACTTCAATCAAAGCTCTCTGTCATAGAAAACCACTGATCTCAATAGTATTGATAATAGCTTGTGTGTGTTTATTGTATTTTGGGTTCTATGCTAGATTCTTTCCCTGAATTACCTGATTTAGTGCTTACAACAAGTCATGAGGTCAGTTTAGAGTAGTACTCGCTGCAAAAATACAGTGCAAGTCAAAAATGTAATTTAACTAGTAGCCACATTAAAAATAAAAGAAACAGGAGTGATTATAACCAATAGTACTTGTGGTGGTACAATGCCACATTACAGTGATGCCTGAATCAAGACAACCTGACTCTCAGCATTCATTTCAACCAAGAATGAGGCCCAATCTGTTCTGAGAACTTGCTCCTTCAGATTTCTCCTAGAACTGTTCTCCTGAACAAAGGCCTTGCTCGCTATTGAAATCGTATATCCAACATGAAATGGGGAAGGAAAAGCAGAATCTGTCTTACCAGGGAATTTTTCTCTTTTTGATCCCTACTGACCTAGAACAGCTCACACAGCCAGAAACAGTTGTTATCAATACAATCCCACCTGTTATTTGCAATGCAAATGGAATAATCTGTTGGTACAATGAATATCTGCTGTTTACAGTGCTTTTATTCACCCCACCCCCACATTGTTCTGGGTCAAGGGTAAGGAAGGGTCGTGAGGGATTAGAGCTCTGTGTGAAGGTTACAAGAGGAATTGAAGGCCTAGTAAGCTTGTTTGTTGTAAACAAGCTGAGACAGCATCCCAGAGGCTGTCCCCACAGTTCCCTCTTACTTATTTTATGAAGGAGGCAGGCCCGTGTTGTAACAGAAGGTATTCGCAGGAAAGTCATTCCCACACCTACTTTTTATCTAACTCAGCATATCCAGGGTATCTTTTCTATATATAGTCAAGATGGCATCAACAGGGTATTGTATATATATATATATTTACATGAAATTTCTGAAGCCTGACATTTATCTCACATAACACACTTCAATTTCAATCAGCCAAATTAAAGCCTTCTGTAGCTAGAGGTGACCAGTGACTCCTGGATCAGGCAGAACAGGACTGGAAGACAAGAAGACAACCTCTGGGGCCATCATGCATGTCCTTGTTACCACTGCTGACTCTGCCAGTTACTGTGTGATCTTGGTAGAGTCCCTCCATTTGCCTTTACCTTGATTTTCTTCTTCTACAGAATGGGGATAATAACAGCTTTCTTTTCAAGGATTGTTGTTAGAAATCAATGAACTAATATGTATAAATACTGAAAACAAAACCTAGTGCACACTAAGCATTCAATGCCTAGGTACTGTATACATATGAAGAAATGGGCTCAGAGGGGTCAAGGCATCTGCTTAAGGTCTCCTAGTGAGTGGAGTTGGGATTTTAGCCTGGGCCTATGAGATGCTGCACGCAAAATGACACTTAAGCCTACCTCAAAGCCTTTTGTTTGGGGAACTCCTTAGTGGAGGGCTGGTAAACTAGTTCCGGAGTAGTGAGAAGCCTTAATTTGCTTGCCAGTTTCTCTGGTGAAAATATTCCCACTATGGCTGATTTCAAGCTACCAATGATTTAACAAGCAGCTTGCAAAATTTCTGACTGGGCTCTTGGGCAGCCTGTAAAGCTGGCTCAGCACACCACTGCATCTTATGGAGTTAATTCTTCTGACTTTCATACTTGCCAGCTTCTGGTGCAAGTCTTTTCCTTAGAATTTGCTTTGTAAATATCAAAGGATCGCCCAAAGGGCTTAGCGGGGACAGAACTCCTCTGGATGTTTACTTATCGGTTCTGAAGTTGTTCCCTTTCCAATACTCTCTCAAGTGAGGAAAGAGTTGGGGGACCTTGGCCGATAGTCAAGAAGATTCAAAGATCCAGAGAAAGATGCCATGGACCTTATTCAAGGCAGAAGGTAAAGGTAGGCAGAGGAGGGCATGTATTTGACAAAGATTGAGCATGTAGGAAAGGAAACACAGTGCTGGCTCAGACTACAGGAGGGGAGTGGGAGAAGGAGCAGGAAGGAAGCTCTGGGGCTCCCATTTGGTGCTGTGGAGGGATTAAGCAGCATGGAAGCCAAGGTGTGTGTAGGGTGTTGCTGGTACTTGGTTTCCTTGGGCTCCGCGCCCTTGTGATTTGCTGCTGTTCTTTAGCTTGGAGAACAGAGCTTCCAGGTCTTTGAATTTGAGTGCTGTCTTCTGCACTGGGGTCTCTGCTGTGATCCACAACTGTGAAGATAAAACAGCCACTTATGGATTGGGGTATGAATGCAAATATATCCCTGTTTGTATTAGTTATTTTTCTGTTCCTGTGATAAAACACCATGACCAACTCCACTTTAAAAAAAAAGGAAGCCAAAGGGACTCCCAGATAGTAACCCAGCACAGAACTGGGAAAATGAACAGCAGACCCCAATCTTATCTAAAGAAATATTGACAACTGATTGCTGCTAGATGAGGAACAGCTGACCTTCCTAAAACAAAGCCCTCTAGAGAGGCTGACTAGATTTCACTAGAAGAGCAAGTAGTGGGGAATGGCTGGGGATGCTGACAACACAGCAGACAGTAGCAGGGATATTAGAATATAAGGGCTCTAGTCGGGGGAGGGAGGCTATGGGAGGATGCTATTTGGGAAGTGGGTGTAAACATAAATAAATAAAAAAAATAAAAATTTTTTTTAAAAAAAGGAAGAGCGTTTTTGGCTTATGTTCCAAAGGGAAGAAGAGTCCATGGTGGGAGACAGCTGGAGCATAAAGCTGAGCGCTCATGTCTTCAAACAGGCACAGGAAGCAGAGCATGAAACTGGAAAATGGGACGTGGCTATGAACTCTAAAGCCTGCTCCCAGTGACGTTCTTCCTCCAGCAAGGCCACACCTCCTGAACGTCTGCAAGCAGCTAAGTGTTCAATACTTGAACCTATGGGGGATATCTCACTCAAACCACCAAAGGGAAATACGGATATGGTGTCATCATTCTTTTGGGTTTTCTTTAGCCAACAGGGGTCACAAGACCTCACAGTATGTTCAGTTTCATTCATACCCCATTTTTACCTAGTGCAACTTCCTGTCCCCCCCAAGGGTGCTCCCCAGTGAAGCTTGTTCACAACTCCATGAGCCTCTCCTTGGGGTCTGAATGTGAAATGCCCCCCCCCCCAGGCTCATGTGTTTGTACACCTTGTCCCCAGTTGGGGACACTGTTTTGGGAGGTTGTAGAACCTTTGCGTGATAGATCTTTGCTGGAGAAAGCAGATTAATGGGGGTGGGTCCATGGGGTTTGTGCTGGATAGCGTTAGTTGTCAACTTGACACACCTGGGTTGAGGGTGCCTCAATTGGGGAATTGCTTCCATTGGACTGGCCTGTGGCCATGTCTGTTGGGTATCTTCTTGATTACTGAGTGATATGGGAGGGCCCCAGCCCATTGTGGGTGGTGCCACCCCTGGGCAGGTGGGCCTATGTTGTTCAAGAAAGCAGGTTGAGCAGGGGCCAGGGCAGCAAGTCAGTAAACAGCATTCCTCCATGGCCTGTGCTTCAGCTCCTTCCTCCAGGTTCCTGCCCTGAGTTCCTACCTTGGGCTCCCTGATGAACTGTGACCCAGGAGATGTAAGAGAAATAAACTGTTTCCTCCCCAAGTTAGTAGTGGTTACAGTGTTTTGTCACAGCAATGTAGAAACAAACTAGAACAGGGTTATATCATCCCTGACCCCTCCCTGCCACATTCTCTGCTCTGTGGTTGGTGTTGTGTTTGAAGCACATGCTGTACATTACGATAGCTATACCAGAGCCCTCTTGCCACCGCCAAGCCTTTAGTACCAGGATGGGTGTACCCTCTCAAACCGAGCCAAAATAAACCTCCTGTCCTGTGATGGTTCATATCAACTTGATAGGCTCTAGAATCACCTAAGAGAGACAAACCTCTGGGCATGACTATGAGGGTTTTTCTAGATTGGGTTATCTTGAGGAGGGAAAACCTACCCTTAATGTTGGTGGCACCATTCCATGGGCTGGGGTCCTGAACTGAATAAAAAAAAAGATGAAGAGAGATAAAGAATGCAGTACCAGCATTCATCTCTCTGTTTCCTGACTTCAGATGCAGCGTGAACAGCTGCCTTTCACTTCTGTTGCCATGACTTCCCCAGCATGATGGACTGTACCCTGGAACTGTGAGTCAAAACAAACCTTTCTTCTTCAAGTTGCTTTTGTCAAATATTTTGTTATAGCAATGAAAAAAGTAATACATCTCCCTTAAGTTGTTTCTGTCAGAAATATCAAGAGAAAAGTAACACACACTCCTTTGTGGATTTCATCACAGTTGTAGTTTTTATGTTGTGCTATTGTAGACAACTTTTTTTCAGTACTAGGGATTGAATATAGAACCTTGTGTGTGCTAGGCAAGTGTTCTACCATTGGGATATCTCCCTGACCATGTTGTGATATCTTGACTTGGCCTATTAGAGACCGCAAGTGCTGTGACAGCAGGAACTGTGCTGGGTGGGCTCACTGTGGTGGTTTGAATGAAGTGCCTTCCACAGGCTTCAAGTATTTGGACATTTTGGTGGTGCTGTTTTGGGAGGCTTTAGGAAGTGTGACCATGCTGGAGGAAGCACATCACTGGGGGTGGGCTTTGAGAGTTCCTAAGCTTTGCCAGATCTCCAGTCACTCTCTGATTCCTGTGCCTACTTGAAGATGTGCTCCCTCTGCCACCATGCTTCCCCCACCATTGTGGACCCTAACCCTCTGGAACCATAAGCTCAAATAAACTCTTCCTTTTACAAGTTCCCTTGGTTACAGTGTTTTATGACAGCAATAGAAATGTAACCACTACACTTACCTTTGTATGCCCAGCGTACGCTGCAGCTCAGTTGGTTCTCTGCCTGTAAGGCCATCAGGGAGGAGAGGCAGGAAATGAATGGCACTGGCTAAAAAGAGACTGAAGAGTGTAATTGAAAGGACTTTTTATAAAGGAGTGAAAGACTTAAGGAATCAGCCTGGAGACTAGCCACAATAGGGGGCTGCAACACTTGTTGTGAATTGAAGTGTGTTCTCCCTCTCCTCAAACTACACTTTAACCCTCTCCCCTTATCTGGAAATGTGACCCTATGTGGAACTAGGGTATTCACAGTTCAAGATGAGGCTGTTAGAGTGGGCTGTAATCTGACATGATATGTGTCATAAGAGAAAAGGAGACACAGAGACCCACAGGGGAAGACACTGTGTATGATGGACAGTCAAGTGATGCATCTATTAGCTCAGGAATGTCAAAGACTGTTGGCTATCACCAGAAGCTAAAAGAGGCAAAGAAGGGCTCGTTCTATATTTTTTGATGACAGCATGCCTCTGCTGACACACTGATTAGATCTAATCTCTAGAATATGGGGATAATACATTCCTGTTGTTTAATCCATTCAGTTCGTAGTGCTTATTATAGTGGCAAAAAGAGACTAGTGCACTGCACTTGGCCCTGAGGGGATGAGACCAGGAAGTAAGTTGTGTGTAGTAAACTGGGGCAGAATGACCCAAGTAGAAGACCATTGGTATAAGCCATGGCTCCATGGGGGAGGGCTCAGGGGATAAATACAGACTCTTTCCTTTCATTTTCCAATTTCTACCTCCTGCCTCCCAATATCCGAACCCATCTGGCAGTCAAAAGGCAAGGGAGCTTGTGACATGGTCCACAGAAGTCAGCCACGTAGGTACTAAGAAGCATGGGCAAGGGAAAGACGGTCTGCAAGGTAAATAAACCCATTCAATCAGTAGGGAAAATACTGGATGAATGAATGAACAGATGAATGAATGGAGCATGGTAGAGACAGAAGTTCCAGTTAACCCTGTTTTTGGTTTGGAAACAGACAATTTTATGGCATTGCTGTTTCCATCATGTGGAGAGAAGGAGTTATGTTTTCAACAGTGAGGACATCTGTGACCAGCTTCTAGGTCCCCACCCCCCTGGCTTGGTACCCAGAGTCTGAGTCTACTGATGCCTCCCTTTGCATAGACAGCACCATTGGGCAAGATTCAACTTTAAGGACTTAAGTAATTTGGTATGACTACAGGAGCACAGCTGAAATTATGATGTGCTAGCCTCCAATGCAGACGAGTTATCTGGTCCTCAAGTCTTGCCAGCTTCACTGAATAGTAGCACTAGCAATGTTTATGCCAGGCTGAGCCAGAATATCCTCCTGCAATAGAGGGGTTCATGTGCACAGAGCATTCTCTGATAGGTGTGAGATCCTTTGGGCAGTTTATCTCCCATGTCTATGTGAGGTTGGAACATCTAGTTGTTGCTGTAGGCTCTATGAGCCAGAGCAGTAAGTAGGGGGTTACGGGGTGGGGGGAAGGGTCAGGTGCACCAATGGATGGGCCAGCTGAGCACAGAGGAGCAGATCGTTCCTCAGGGGAAATGCTGTTATGATCTGATCGCTTTGGTGGAGAAGCTGGGTTTATATTCACTGAAGCATCTGAGATGCAGTCGGTACAGCTGCTTGGCTTTGCATAGAATGAGTGACTGACTCATTTCTATTCTAAATGCAGGAGTTTGGTCTAGGGGCGACCAGAGAGATAAAACTGCATTTTCATTTGACTTGTCTTGCCTGGGACCATTGTGATGTCCACTTGCACCCTTTATTATCAGTACCTCCCTCCTTCCTTGTGATCTGGGATCTATGATAATGGGATAGATTTCCTATGAAGCACAGCTTGGTCCTCATGGCAGAGGAGGAAAGAGTCCTGAAAACCACACTGTCTCTTGAAATTTCTTCTCAGAAGTGACATGTCCTATTCTTTAATTGGTTCTCCATGGCTAATGCAAGCCAGGCTGTAGGGCAAGTCTTGAGTTCAGCAGGCCAGGGATGTATAATTCTCCCACAAAACAGGAAAAATGAAATAGTGGGTTAGCATTATTGTAACCTGCATATACATTTACAGCCTCCATCTGGTTTTAGAATTAGGAAGATCCAGAATTAGGGGTGATCAGTTGCAGAGGTGAGCAACTGTATCCCCAAAATGCAGTTATTAGGAAGTTTGAGGCAAATGAATGGGTGGACAAATAGAGATATCTGATGGAGTTAATTAGTTACTTTTGCATTGCCGTGACCAAAATACCTGACAAAGAAGTTAAGGGAGGAAAGGTTTCATTGGTTCACAGTTTCAAAGTGATTGTGGTCCATGATGATGGGGAGTTCATTGCTGTGGTAGCACATGGTAAAGGTTCTTCACATCTTGATGGACCAGGAAGTAGAGAGCTTGTGGTCAGAACTGGGAGTCGGCATTACCTTCAAAGCCCTGCTCTTAGTGACTAATTCCATCAGCCAGGCCTCATCCCGTAAAGGCTCCATAACTTTCAAAATAGTGCCACAAACTGGGGACCCAGTGCTCCGATCTTGAGCCTGCAGGGAGCATTTAAGATTCAAACAATAATACCAAGGAACTTGTTGGAGCCCATCCTGGCCTGGGATACAGCTGAAGGAGTCCCGGGGGACAGATCTACAGCATGGCTTCTTTCTTCTTTTCTTTCTTCCTTCCTTCCTTCCTTCCTTCCTTCCTTCCTTCCTTCCTTCCTTCCTTCCTTCCTTCGTTTTGTCTTTTGAGACAGGGTCTCCCTGTAGCCTCAGCTGACCTGGAACTCATGATTTAGACAAGGCTGGCCTCGATCTCACAGAGATCTACCTGCCTCTGCCTCTTGAGTGTTGGGATTAAAGGCAAGTAGCACCATCCCCGGCCCTTAGCATGGTTTTCTTGACTGAGTATAGCTAGCCCAGTGACTTTGCCTATCCCCACCATACACCCAGAGATGCGAAACTGGGTGCATCCAGCCTGCCACAGCTGCTGCTCATCTAAGTAAGGCTGAATGGCTTGACTCATCTCCAATGCTTCCCATTTTGTTTTTATTTTCTCCTCCTTTCCCACCTACATAGTCATAAGAACTCAAATAATATTGTCTATATAGAGGCAAGAATAGACATTAAATGTGAGAGGGAAAAAAATGTAAAGCTGTCATTGCGTCAATTCACTGAGATATTGGGAATATTTGTTACAGCAGCTAGTCCTGACTGATACACTGCCTGTGTGTGTGTGTGTGTGTGTGTGTGTGTGTGTGTGTGTGTGTAAAATGATTCCAGAAGGAATATTCCAGAATGGAATGTTCTCTGGAAGGGGTATTTCAGTTGTTCATTGGCTAGGTTATGTAGAAGAAGACATGTAGGCTTCTGACAGAGTAGTTAGTCTTTCTTATCTTTTCCCTCAAACTCTGCCCTAGAAGAGGTTTGAGGAATGAGTGTGAACATTTGCTGTAACTTATAGTCAATGTCTGGTCAGTCAATGGCTGGTCAGTTGTGGCAGGCTAGGGACCAGGACAGAGCTTCAGTGGGGAGTTGGAGTCTTTTGCTCCCAGCAGGCTTTGAAGGCGGGCTAGTTATGCAGGGAATTTCCTGCTTTGCAATGCCATGCCAATAACCACAGCTTAGCAGATTCAACTCCTGTCCACTTTTGGTGAGTTTTCAAAAACACCTCAAAAGCAATTTCAGGTTTGCGTCCTTAGCATTCAAATCTAGCCCAGGGCTAGTTCATGTCTGAATCTGATTTTAAATAAGAAACTGACCATTAGTTTACTTCGTCTACCAACAAAATGGAAGGAACTCTTTCTCTTCTACTTTCCTCTGAATTTGGAAATCGTGGGGGAAGAATTTGCTCCTGGAAGAGCAAGAGGTGGGTGGAGGGTGGGGAGGGGTTAGAAAAAAATACCCTGGGGTTTGGATGGAGGCTTTGGCCCCCAAGTGGGGATGGGGTGATTGAGGTAGCATGAAGCTGTCAGACTGATTATACAGTGTTGCCACTTTAAGGCAAGGGTGAGACCAGTTTAGGGAAAGAACAGTCACAGACAAGCACCAGATGGTGTGGTGGGGCTGGGAGTCCTGAGCTCAGGAACGTCCACCTGCTCATTAAGATTTCAGCAAACCATTTTCTCTCTTCTCCGATCTTGGTAAAGGTAAGTGGGTGGCCTGTGGGAAGTAAGGGTGGCCTTGACTTGAAGGAGCTGGAGAAAACATTGGTACATTGGGTCAACTGAGGTCCCTGGACCACACTTCCGGACACATGGGTAATGTGGAGGGAATGACAGTTTCTGTAGGGGATACAGCGACCTGAGAAGCTTGAGTGAAAGCCTTTC